GGGCCTGGGCCGGCTGGGGGACCCGGGAGGTCCTGGACTCTTGGTCCTGTCCTGGAAGACTCTGGGTTCGGAATTACGCCAAGAAACCGAGTGAGCCGGGGTATTAGGGATCAAGATAGGGACGGTGGACACGCGGGGAATTGGTGGCGCGCAGGCGCCAGTTGGGGAGGTGGGTCTAGAGTTTCTGCGCAGGTGCCGAGACAGAGCACAGGCTGTGTGCGCAGCCGCCGGCCGAAACCTCGCCGCCGTTGGCAGGGTGTGCGTTCAGCCGCGGACGCGTTTCAGTGCGCAGGCGCGGGAGAGTGGGGCTGGTCTCGGGAGGCGGGGGCGAGGGTTCTCCTCTGATTTCTGCTTCCAAGCGGCTGTGAGCCTTGGCACGAGCCGCCTCCGGGAGTCGGAGAAAGATATGTGGCCCGTCTAAGTACGAAGTTCCCTGTTGTGTAGTTATTAAGTTGTACCTGGATACAGCCTTGCCTGATCTCCGTCAAGGAGGAAGCAGGCCAGTGTTAGGGCTAGAGACACGCGCGGCCAGTGGAGGACGGGATCACAGCCGGACCCCGAGGGGGGATGAGGCCACGCTCGGCTCGCCTAGCCGGGTCCCCGCGATGGCGGACGTAGGCGAGCCCCAGGGCCTTGGAGGGGGAGCTGGGCCGGCCTGACTCCCCCCTGCTCCCCAGTCGCCAAGGGCGCCAAGGGCGGGAAGGGCAGTGTGGTCAGCGAGGCCCTGAAGGACCCGGAAGTGTGCACCGACCCCGTGCGGCTGACCACGCACGCCATGGGCGTCAACATCTACAAGGCGGGCCAGGACGTGGCCCTGAAGCCGGACGCCGAGTACCCCGAGTGGTGAGTGGGTGGTGGTGGAGGGGTCACGCCCGGCGACTGGCCCAGACCTGAGCCCCGCCCCGCCCCGCCCCCAGGCTGTTCCAGGTGAACGTGGGCCCCCCCAAGAAGCTGGAGGAGCTGGACCCCGAGACGCGGGAGTACTGGCGGCTGCTGCGGAAGCTCAACATCTGGCGCCACAACCGGCTGAGCAAGGGCAGGAAGCTGTAGTGAGCGGCCAGGCGGCGGGACCTTCCCTCCCCTTCCCCAGGCCTCAGTGGGCTGCTGCAGTGCCTGGCCTTGTCCAGAGGCCTCGGCCCCAAACCTAGGAAGGGAGGGAGGCTGTCCTCACGAAGCCTCTGCCAGGGCCTCAAACCTGCCCGGAGTGTTGGGAGCTGGAGAGAGCCTTTGAGCTTCAGGAACTGAAAAGCCCAGGTGCAGGTGTCGGGCTTCAGGCAGGGCTGGATTCAGGTGCTTCAAGATACAGACCTGTGTCTTGTCTGTCCCTGGATCTCTACCCGCCTAGCCTCAGGTCTCCTGGCCAGCACCCCCGACACACACACACTCAGCAGGTGGAGCTGGGCGAGGGGACTGCTCAGGGCAGTCAGTTGAGCTCAAAGGCCTGGTTCTCCCTCCCACCTGGCCCTCCTCAGCTGTGTCACGAGCCTGGTGGGCAGCCCGGGGGGAGCCCGGTCCCTGCATCCTCTCGCCCAGCCCAGCTGTGAGGACGGCCTAGGAGCAAGACCCCAGCCCACCAGATTGGAGGAGGGCAGGGGGGTGTCTAGTGACGGGCAGCAGGGGCCTCTCGGAGGACTCTGCCCCACACAGGTCCACTGATGGCCCAGGCCTGCCCCCTCCAGGTCCCTCTGGCTACAGACTGGACCCTGCAAGAGACCTCTAATTCTGCCCAGTCCCAGGGAAATGAGAGTCCTCGTCCTCTCAGCAGGCTCTGCAGAAGGTGACCAGGCACCTGCTCCCTGGCTGGTCACAGGTGCAAACATCCGTTCCTTCCTGATTCTCAGGTTGTACCTGCCCTGCCCGCCCTGCCTGGTCACCTCCCTTAACCTCTTCATCTTCTGCTCCAGCCACAGGGACCCTTTGCTGAGCCTGTAAGACACCAGGCTTTTTCTGCCCCAGGGCCTTTGCACAGCTCTGCCCTCTGCCTAGAGTGCTCTTCTCCCAGATAACTCCCCAGCTGCTCCTGCCACCTCTCCAGGTCCCCCCATTAAAGTTGCCGCACAACTAGTCGCCTGGTCTTTCTCACCAGCACTCACCGCCATCTCACATTCCATGTTTTGGTGCAGTTGTGTTTTTAATATTTTGCATCTGCCTCCCGCTGTCTCCAGCCTGGGACAGGTGGTGTGTCTGGAGGTGGCTGGGTGGTGGAGGGCAGGGCTAGACGGAGGGGTGAGGGGTGGAGGGTGGGGAGGGCGTGCAGGTGCTCTGGGTGTCGACCTGGGCCTGTGGCCTCTTCTCCCCCTGCGCCCAGCCCCCCCGGGTGCACCTCCACGGCGCCTCGCCCTGATCTGGGAGGTCGGAGGGCCGTCCAGGTGTGGGCCAGGGGCTGTGGGGACGTCTGCTTTGCCCATCCCCGGGGTGGAGGGAGCAGGAGCTGAGAGCAGCACCCAGCGCTGCCACCCTTGCTTGTGTGTGTCCCTGAGCCGCTCTGGAGGGCACTGCCCCCACCAGCTCCAGCCCTGCTGGCTGTGCTGCCTCAGAAAACTGGCCGCCCGTCTCTGGGCCTCCTCCCTCAAGGGGCTGAGGGCGGAGCCTGTCTCCCAGGACTGGTGGCAGGAGGGCTACCGGCAGGCGCAGGGTAAAGGTGACAGGAGGCTGCTGCTGTTTGTCACTTCTGGGGCCCTGTGGGGGAAGGGCTGGGCGGCCACTTCAGGAACCTGGCGCCCAGCACCATGCCCACCCAACACGTGGGCTGAGGGGCAGGGCAGGGCCCCTGCCTGGGCCTGCAGGTCCTCAGGTCTCCCTGCTGGGTGTCACCTGGCTGTGGGGTGGGGAGGGTGGGGGCACAGGGCAGGGTTCCCAGCAGCCCATCGAGGTCTTGCTCCCGGAGACGGCTTGGTCTGACTGGCTGCTGTCACCAGGCCCGTGTCAGGCTGGTGGCCAGGCTCTGTCCAGGGCCTGCGCGTGCTCCTTGGCCAGCAGCCGCAGGGACGCCTCCTCCAGGGCGAAGCCGTCCGCCAAGGTAGGAGGGAAGGCGTGTGGCCCCAGGGAGGCCTGCAGCCCTGGGGCTGAGCCCAGGACGTGGGGGAGGCCTGGCCCCGCCTGGGGGCCGGGGCCCAGCCAGGGCTCCAGGGGCAGCTGCAGGGCCGGGGGACGGGCAAGTGGCAGTGTGGGGGCCTCTGGGAGCCTCGGGGCTGCCACCGCTCCTGAGCCTGACTCCAGGCGCTCCTGGCGGCGCCACTTGGCCCTGCGGTTCTGGAACCAGACCTGGGGAGTGGGGGGGTGCTGCTGCGACCTCGGCCTCCCCCTCCCCAGGCCCCTGAGGGCCGCCCGCGCCGCCTGTGGCTCTGCTGTGCTGCTCCGAGATTGTGGGTCGAGGGGTCCCTGCCTCCGGCGTGGGCCCGGCCTCCTCCCTGGGCACTCAGGCCTCTGGGGCTCCCTGCCTCCCTCCCGCCCACTCCACCAGGAAGCCCCAGGCCGGGTTGGGGCCTCACCTGCACGCGCACCTCGGGCAGGTGCACCTTGGCCGCCAGCTCCTCGCGGCTGTACACGTCTGGGTAGTGGGAGGCCTCGAAGGCCCGCTCCAGCTGGTGCAGCTGGTACGTGGTGAAGGTCGTGCGGCTCCTGCGGTGCTTCTTCTTGGGGGCCTCCTCGCCCGGCCCCAGGCCCCCACCCTCAGGCCCCGGCCCCTCTCCCAGGCTCAGGAACATGGCTTCTCACCTGGCCCGGAGGACAGCAGGACAGAGTGTGGTGAGACAGTGGGAGGAACTGTCCCTGGGAAGGCAGGGGAGCCCACCTGCGCCTCAGCCTCTGCCCCGCACCCCGTCTTTCTGGGGTCACCTCCCGCCCTCCTGTCCCCACTGCTGCAGCGTCTGCTCCTGCCGCTCCTCTCCGTCCCCTCTCCCGGGCTCTGTCCCTGACTCTGTGTGGGAGGACCCCGGGGTGTGTCCCTCAGGCCTGGGTCCTCCACCTGTGCCACCTGCCCAGGCTGGCTGCCCTCCACCAGCCGGCGGCCCGGCGTCTGCTGAGCCCAGGGGAGGGAGGATTAGTCGGAGCCGATTAATTGAGGCGCCCCCCCCCCCCGCGGGTGCCGTGTCCCCAGCCTCCAGGGAGGCAGCACCGGGCCGGGCTCCCAGGCTCGCCTCCACCCCGCCCCGTGGGACGTCCAGGCCCCTCCGGCCTCAGCTTCCCTGGCTGTGAAATGGGGCCTCAGGGAGGAGCAAGCAGACAGCGCACAGCAGAGGCCCAGCGGGGCCCCGGGGGCGGGCGCTGCGGCCATCGACGGGGGCCAGCAGGGCAGCTGGCAGACTCAGGGTCAGATGACGGAAGCGAGGCCAGGGCCGTCTAGGGGTCCTCTGGATGCTGGCCAGGGAGCAGGAGGGGCCATCCTGGTTGGGCCTTGAGGTCTGCGGGGGTCACTCTTCCCGTGCTCACTGCGCGTGCAGCGAGCTTGTAGGGAGCACTCAGTGTGTCCCGGGTGCGCCACGCAGGTGGCATCCGGTGGGCAGCCGGCAGCCGGCCAGCAAAAACGAGGCGTCCAGCTTTGGAGCCTCGAGAAGCTCCCCCGGGGCCACTTCAGGGAAGAGGCCGGGGGTGTGGGGTGGTGAGGGGCTCGCTCTGGGGACAGTCTGCAGCGAGGAGGGCGCTGGGGTCTGGGGGCGGTTGTACAGCAGAGGGCTCAGAGGTCCACGTGGGCAAGCTGGGGCCAGGAGGAAGCAGGCACAGCCCGGGGGAGAGGCCGGAGGCCCTGGGGAGAGGCCGGAGGCCCTGGGGTGAGGCCGGAGGCCCTGGGGAGAGGCCGGAGGCCCTGGGGAGAGGCCGGCTGGAAGGGGCAGGAGGAGCCGAGGGCGTTTCTGGGGCAGCACATTTGGGAAGAGCTGGACGTTGGGTGCCTGGTGGCCTGGACTCGGGGCCGTGGGGGCACACGAGAGGCTGATGGAATGCAGTGAGGGGGATGGCTCCAAGTGGGGCCAGAGACCCCTCTGGGAGGGAGCGGGACGCAGCAGACGGAAGAAGGGCCTCGCAGGGACACAGCATGGCCACAACCAGCATGGCCACTGCCCCCAGCCCGGCTGTAGAGGCAGAGGCTCGCGGTTCGGGAGGGCGTGGGGGGCAGGAGGCCCGAGCGGGCTGCCCAGCAGTCAGCTGCAGTGGGCACAAGAGGGCCCCGCCCGCCCGCACCTCCCACCCAGGGATCCGCTGCTCTCAGGCCCAGGGGCGCCCAGAGGGCCTGCGGGGACCGTGGGTGGAGCGCTCCAGACGCTGTCAGCTTAGAGGGCGGATTAGGGGCAGGCAGCAAGGGACAGGAGGCTCCCCAGCTGGCCAGCGGCTCCCAGCCTCCTGCCCTCCCGTTCCCAGGAGGAGCTGCTAAACCCCGCGGGCACTGGTGGCCAGACTTCAGGAGCCATGCAGGAGGTCAGCCTGGCCTTGGGACAGCTGCGTGGGACTCCACTGGGGTCAGCACTGGGAGGCGGCTGGGGTCCAGGGGCCCCAGGGTTGTGTCCCCAGGAGTTTTTGTGCCATTGCGCCCCCACAGCGAGGCTTGCGCACCTAGCCCGGCCGTGGACTTGCTGGCCAGGGCCGGTCAGCCTCCGCCTCCCGTCCAGCGCTCTCCTGCAGCAACTGAAGCCCGCCTGAGGGCCACAGCCTGGCCTGCCTCCTCGGTGCCGGTCACTGGCCGACTGTGGAAGTCAGCAGGGAGCCACCGAGGACACCTGCTGTGCGCCCGCCCTGGGGTCCCGCCCCGTGCTCCCTGCCGCTCCCTCCAGGGTCCTCACGCCCCCGGGAAAGAGCCTGGCCAGGCAGAGGGGACAGCTGGCCCGTCTGCCCAGGACTTCGAGTGTGAGCGCTGAAGTCCCACCTAGAGAAGTCCCTGTCCCGGTCACAGATGGGTGTGGCAAGGAGGGGTGGTGTGGCCAACTGTCCCCAGGTGTGTGCCCAGGCACCGGCTCGAGTGCTAGGCCCTGGACATGCGGCCTGCTTTTGTCCCAGGGCAGTGTGGCACTGGGGCTGTGGGGTGCCCTGTGCCTGGGAGGGCCTGCCCAGTGATGGGGGGCGGGGCAAGTGGCAGGACGGTGGCCATCGTGACGGGGGAGCACAGCTGGGGGACGCAGGAAGCTGGCCCTGGAGGCAGGGGCTGGGCCGGCTCGGCTCTGCGCCCGGGGGAGCAGCCCGCCCCATGGGCCTCGCTGCCCGGTGCTGACCGGCTTCCTGGCCCAAGCTCCCGCAGCACTGGGGCGCCCGGGGGGACGCAGAGGAGGGTGGGCTTCCCAGGACCTCCCAGAGGGGGTGAGGCCACAGCAGAGCCCTCTCCTTGGGGGGGCCACTGGGGACAGTGGCAGGGGGCAGTGGCAGGGGGCAGCGGCTGGGGACAGGAGGCATAGACCCTGAGGGACAGTAGCCTTCTCCGAGGGGCCGTGGAGCTGGGGCTGTCCTGGTCACTGAGTGCTCCACCCGTGGGGACACCTGTGATGGACCCAACCCGGAGCCTCTGGGCACTGTCCCCATGGAGCTCTGCGGGGGCCAGCTGGAGGCGTCCTGACTGGCAGTGAAGGGGCCCCATGTGCACCGTCAGGTGCTGCAGTGACAATCTCTGGGTCCAGTCCCTGGACCACCATCGGGGGACAGCGGCAGCCAGGGAAGTCCACGGGGTCCCCGGCACGGACCCCTAGGAGGTGCCAGTCACAGACACACGAACACCCACAGGCCTTGGAGCTGGTCTTTATAGAGGCCGTGGTCCTCTGCTGCCAGGTCCCAGTGTCCACGCTGCCCGGCCCATGCTGGCCCTACCCTGGGGCCAGGAGGGCCGCTGGTGGCCTGGCCTTCCCTGGGCCTGGCCGGTCCCCGCCCCGGGCTCCCTGCTGCTCTCTTGGTCCTCTGGGGCCCATGGCCCTGCCCGGTGGGGTCACGGCTCCTGGCTTCGGGGCGGAGTGGACACGTCGGCGTCCTGTGCCCCCACGGTGGCCGAGGTGCCCAGACTGCGTAGCTCCCGGGTCAGCTTCTCTGCCACCTTGCGGAAGGGTGGCCGGCGGGAGGGCTCTGCCTCCCAGCAGCTGCCCATGAGGGCGTGCACGGGCCCAGGGCAGCCCTCGGGGGGCTCCATGCGGTAGCCCTTCTCCACGGCCTCCGACACCTCCTTCAGCGACTGGGGACAAGGGGCACGTGAGCGCGGGCAGGGCAGGGCCGCCCTGCCCCATCCTCGGGAGGCCCTGCTCACCATCTTGGGGTATGGAGCCCGTCCGTATGAGAAGACCTCCCACAGCAGCACCCCAAAACTCCAGACGTCCGACTTGCTGGAGAACTTCTGTGGGGCCCAAGAGAGGATGAGTGGGGCCCAGGGCTCCTGCGGCCTCCCCTTCCTCCAGGAAGCCCTCCAGGGCTGGCCCCTCCTGTAGGGTCCCCCCATCCAGGTGAGCCCTGTTACCCTTCCCCTCAGAGAAAAGCCCATGCCCACTTCGGAGATGGGGAAACTGAGGCAGAGGGCAGACTAAAAGGAAAGACCATGGGCCTCCGGCTCGCTGAAGAGGCAGGGCCATCCCCTCGGAGGTTCAGAGAGGCCTTATGCCGTGCCAGGGTCGCACAGCAGAGCTGAGACGCCATGCCTACTTTGTGGGACTCTGAAACTCCCAGTTCTGAAGGGGGCTCACCCCATGTTTGAGAGCCTCAGGCGCTGTCCACTTGACAGGCAGCCGGCTTGAGTCCAGCCCCTTCCGCTCAGCTTTGGCCAGGCCGAAGTCACTGACCTTGGCCACCAGGTCCTCAGAGACCAGGATGTTGCGGGCGGCCAGGTCTCGGTGCACCAGCTTCTTGCTCTCCAGGTACTCCATGCCCTCTGCCACATGCCTGGGAGGGGCGCCCAGAGCCTTAGAACGGGCCCACCTTCCCTGCCTCAGCTTCCCCTGCAACAGGGACCACCTCCCCACCAGGAGCCCCACACACAGCGAGAACTGCAGGAGCTGGGCGTTGTTCACCAGGGCCCGGCCGCGGGTGCGCAGGAAGTTCACCAGGTTGCCCTGCGGGTGGAGAGAGGTCGGCTCCGGGCTGCGCGGCCCCGCCCCTGCGCCCGCCCGGGCTCCGCACCTTGCTCACGTGCTCCATGACGATGTAGAGCCCCTGGTGCAGGATCACGCCCAGGAGCCGCACCAGGTTCTTGTGCTGCAGCTTCCTGCGGGGGAGCGTGAGAGCCGTGGACCCGCCCCGCGCCCGCCCCCTCCCGCCCCAGCCCGGGACTCACGTCATGACCGCGGTCTCGTCCAGGAAGGCCTGGGCTGTCACGTCGCACTTGATGTTCTTCACGGCCACCTTCTGCCCCAGGTACTCGCCCTGCAGGACAGCTGGGCGTGGTGGGCACAGAGATCAGGAGGCCACCAGTGATGGGAACAGGCAGGCCCACGCCCCCGGTCCCCGGGCACCCAACACAGCTGCAGGGGCCAGCCCCGTGGCCCTGCAGGCTGCAGATCAAGGCCAGAGACCCCCGGAGCAGGGGCGCGGGCTGCACCCCCAGCCAAAGCTGGTCCTCTGGGCTCACGGCAGGCGACGGTCACCTGCACTCAGCATGCTCTCGGGGCTCCAAGGGTGGGGCTCGGTAGTGGGACAGTGTCCACCTGGCCACAAAGCCAGCAATGTCCCACTCTGGCCCTGACAGAGGAGGTGGAGACCCTGCCCTCCGCCAGGACGACTCCGGGCAGCGGCATCCTGCCCAGAGGCCGCACTGGAGCTGAGGGCCCGGGAGCGGAGCTACCGCGTGGCAGAGGGAAACAGGCCGGCGGCAAGCGCACCTGTCCTGGGAGGCGGGGACGGGACTCCCAAGCCTCCACCCCACCCGCCCACCTCCAGCTCCGCCCTCACCTCCAAACTCTCCCTCTCCGATCTGCGCCCCCAGCGTCAGGTGCTGCAGGTCCAGGAGCCAGCCGGCTGCAGGGGAAGGCCAGGTCAGGGGTGGCACGGCCCCTCCCATGGGGTCCACCTGGCACCCCGCGGGGACACTCGCTCCTGCAGCCCCCTTCCTGGCAGTGCCCACAGATGTGGCCACGACTCCCCTGGCTCAGGACCAGTGACCTAAGCTGGGTGCTCCCCTCAGACCCGCACCCCAGCTCGGCCCTGGGGACTCCCTGTGGGGCCCAGAGGCAGTGCCAGGAAACCCCTCCACCTCAGGGTCTCAGAGGCTGGGGCCACCCTTTCTGTCCTTCCAAATGCCCCACAGGCGTCCCTTCACCCTCCTTCACCTCTGACCACCAGGAACACACAGAGCAAAACACACAATAAACATGGAGACCCATGAAGGTTCTGGAACCTTCCAGGACCCTGGCCTCCACGGGCTCCTCTGCTCTGCACCCTGCCCGAGGCGGGGTCTGAAGCCATCTGTTCCTCCTCCAGCCCCCCAAGCTCCAAGTCCGTGTGGTCCCCACCCAGTGCCATGCTTAGCCTGGGAAAGTCCAGTGCTTCCAAGGGCACACTGGCCACTCGGGCACCAGGCTGGAGGGTGGCCAGAGCTGTGGAAGGACCCGGCCTCAGAGTGTGCAGGCGGGCTGGACCAAGCTAAGGCCCAGGTTTCCGGCTCAGGTGACATGGTGGGTGACAGGGACACGGCATGAGCTCAATGTGGGGCTAACCTGTGTCTGTGGTAATCCCTGCCTGGGCCACCCAAGTGCCTTCCGTTCCATAGTGCTTGGCACCAGGACGCGCCAGGAGGTGTGTGCAGCCCGCGTCCTGCTGCCCAGGCTAAAGAAGGGCCAGGCAGGCCTGTGCCCACCTACCCTTGGCCAGCTCCTCCTCCGCGGACCGGGTGCCCTGCTTCCTCTTGGGCCTCACCAACTTCGTGCAGATGGCACCCTTGTCCTTGCTGTAGTGCTGCAGAAATGGCAGGGGTGGCCTTGAGCCTGGCCCTGTGCCCACCCCTTCAGGTGGTCTCTGGGTGGGGTGGGCCGGAGCTAGGGGGCCAGAGGGGTTCAGGTGGCATGGCAAAGTTGGCAGGTTTCATGAGAACCAGAAAAGATGCAGGGTGGATTCTGGGGGCCCTGGATTGACGCCAGTTTGGAGGTCCCTGGGGCTCCCCAGAGAAGCCACCTGGTCCTCAGAGGTACAACCAGGGTGACTCGGCCCCCTGGTGGTCCTTGGGGACCAGCCCTCCATCTTTGCACTGAGGAGAATCCCACCCTGGAGCTCACACCTGCCCGTCTGCCAGGGACGCGAGGAGGCCCTGGAGCCTCCTAGGGACCTGCCCCTGCACCTCTGTATTGGGGATGATGCACTTTGGAGGTCCCTTGTCTGCCCAGCTGCCAAGACCTGGAGGGAGCCGCGGGGTCCCTCTGTGCCCTCTGGGGCCCAGTCCTGATCCCCCAGGGCACCTCCACCATGTCCATGAGATTGCAGAAGCAGACGGCCTCATCGATGGTGAGGTGCCCGTCGCGGTGCAGCACGCGGTAGTGGATGACGTCGCGGCCGAAGCTCACGCACAGCACGTAGTCGCCGGGGTGCCGCGCCGACTCGCGCACCAGGAACAGCCCGTCCTCGGGGGGCTGCAGCTGCTGCACCGCCTCCTGGCCCGAGATCTTCCCGTGGAACCACCTGCGGCGGGCGGGCGTCCAGCACAGCTGGGGCCCAGCTGGCCTGCGCCCCGCCCCGGGCCCGCCCAGCGCCCGCCACCCACGCCCACTCACGGCATGAGGCTGAGCTTGGGGTCCGCCGACAGGGCCTCGCGCTCCCGCAGCGCGCCGGCCGCCAGCAGCCCCTCCTGGCCGCTGGCGTGGTGCTTGGCTCGGTACCAGCTCTTGTTCTGCGGGGGAGGGGCGGGGTGGGCGCCTGGTCCTGGGGCGTCCCCAGCCCCGCGCGCGCAGGTCCCCCGCCGCACTCACCTCGCAGGCCTCCAGGATGGTGACCACGTCGCCCTTGCGGAAGGCCAGCTCCCCCGGCTTGGGGCGCGTGTGCTCGCACTTGGTGATGCACTGAGTGCCCGGGGCCCAGCGCCTCTGGGTGGGAGCGGGAGCGGGCGGAAGAACGTGAGGGCGCCGTGGGGAGGAGGGAGGACAGGAGGGGAAGGAGATGGAAACTGGGAGGGACAGGGAGATGAGGGACTCAAAATCGAAGCAGCCAGGAGAAGCAGAGGAGAGGGCAAGAGGGCTGAGAAACGTTGGAGTCACAGAGGGGACCCTGGACGGAAGGCAGGGAAGGCGCTGGAGCGAGGGTCGAGGCTGTGGGCCTCCTGCAGGGGTGTGGACGGAGCTGAGGAATGGCTGGGGACAGAGCACAGGCGCTGGGATACTCACGGTCGGCATCCTGACTGTGATGGGTGGGGGGTGCCAGGCCCCCAAAAGGCGAGAGCTCACCTGGGGAGGGGGCAGAGTCAAGCTCCAAGTCCCGATTCCGGGTAGGCTTGGGCCCCAGGGTCCAGTCCCTGTCACTTGCAGTCCAGGCCAGGTGGGGCGCAGCCGGGAGGCACAGATGGCCTCTCAAGGCATCCCGGGTCAGACCCAGGCACGGCCCCTCGGTCCCCTCTGGGGAAGTGATCTTTACCCGGGGAGGCTCCTTAGTCGAGTCACAGCCATACAATGCCAGCCTGGAGACCATGGAGGTTCGTCCTGCCATTTCCCCCAGAGGGAAACCGAGGCCGGGAAAGGCGGAGAGCAGTGGTCACAGGCAGTATGGGAGGACCGCCTGGCTCAGGCCAGCAGCCAGCACAACGTGTAGGGAGCTTGGTGCCACCTGACCGCGCCTACTCCTTCCTCTTTTCTGGCAGTGGGCAGGGGCAGGGAGGGGAACGGGGATGAGTCAAGGTCATTACCAAGAACCTTTGACCCTGAGGTGGAGCTGGGCCAGAGGAGGCTGTGCAGCCCTGCTGGAGGAGCAGGGTCCCCTGCCCCAGCCCTGGACAGACACGCCAAAGTCCCTCATGGCCATTAGGCTGGAGGTCCCTCCTGCCTCTCCCACGTCCCCTGCTGCAGGTGGCCGAGCTTTAGGGAGGTTGAGATGTGGGATCCCAGCTCCTCGGGCCTGTCCCCCACAAGCTCTGCAGCCCCGGGACTGGCCAGCACACTCGTGGGCTACACACAAGCACTAGAGCCCAAGGACTTCTTCCGGGGACCAGGGCGCCGGCGTACCGGCAAAGGCGCCGGTCCACCTAGAGACAGGTGCGCACCCTCGCGCACGCGTGTGGAGACGCGGACAGACACTCGCCACCCGGAGCTGTGCACCTGTCCCCCGCCCCCAACTCACACACACAACCAACACCTGGGCGCCAGACGCTGGGCCACCCGGGCGCGCAGAGCCCCACGCAGGGCCGTGCACACGCATCCTGGCCACACGCGCACAGCCCTCCACGTGGACGCGCCGATACGCACCCGGGCTCGTAGCTGCGCACGCCGCACCCAG